TGGCTCTACTTGGTAGTTATGAAACGTTGCTAAACCCTATGAAGTAGTACTTCTTTATTTATTTAAAATATTTTACTTTTCCTTTTTCTCCCCAAAGCCCCCTGGCACATAGTTGTATATTTTAGCTGTGGGTCCTTCTAGTTGTGGCATATGGGACGCCGCCTCAGTGTGGCTTGATGAGCAGTGCCATGTCCGCGCCCAGGATTCGAACTGGCAAAACCCTGGGCCGCCTGCAGCAGAGCGCACGAACTTAACCACTCAGCCAGGGGACTGGACCCTGAAGTAATACTTCTGAATTAGTCTGTGTTTAAAAATATCATTTGCTTCTACATTGTTATCCCCATCGTGTTTTAGCTTTAATATTTTGCTCAATGTTTAAGGCTATATCCTGGCTTAGCAGCATGTAATGAAGATTAAAAATAACTTAAAAATCACCAACATTATTTTTCTTTGTTCTGATTCACTGGTGAAATGTTTTAGCTAACACATCTTAAGAGCTGACTGGGAAGTCAGTGGTATAAGAAGGAGGCATAGATATTTAACCACTTATTTATTTCAAGTAGCAGGTCCCAGCCTTGACTTGGCATTAGAATCACTTGGGAATCTTTAGAAAAGATTGATACTTGGGCCCCACCCCAGAAATTCTGTCTTAATTGTTCTGGGGAGGGCCTTGAACACAACTCAGGGTGTATGTGTGTGTGACAGAGTCAGATATCATTAGGTTACAGAAGTACCAGCACCTCCCATTCTCTCCCCATCACGTTCCCTCCCCCACTCAGGTGCCATGCTGACTTTATAGTAAACATTTACTTGCTTTTCTTTATAGTTTTACCACCTATGTACCCCAAATAACATGGTTTAGTTTTCTTTTTTTTAACTTTATATTAGTTGAAGCATATTCTCCATATCCTTTTGTGATGTTCTCTCCTCAGCCTTGTGTTTCTTCGTTTCTTCTGTGTGAGTCTATAATTCACTTTTGTTGTTAGAATGCTAATGTGTGATTGCACTGCAATTTATTCTGTTGTTGATGGACGTGAAGATGACTTCTATCTTTGACCATTTTGCATTTGGGGCGTGTTTCCTGGTACACGCAGAGCGTAGTCCTCCCCAGGGTTTATGTGTGGAAGTGGGATGGCTCAGTCAGAGGCGTTAGTTTCTTCATCTTCGTTAGACTGTGCCGCTGGGTTTTCCAGAGAGGTTGTTCCGTTTACATTTCCTCTGGCCGTGAATGTGAGGTCCTGAGGGTTGCTAAGTTGTTTTGCAATCTTCCAACAGGAATTTCTGCTGATGGAAAGGCATCGTCAGACCTTGTTTGGGTGTGACAGTGGCTCCTGAGTCCTTATTGGATGGGCAGTAAATGGAATCAGTTAACTTTCGTAACACCAGACTGGCCGTCCCTGCTCCTCAGGTGCCCTGGCAGCTCTCTGGTGTGCGTCCCTGCTCCTCAGGTGCCCTGGCAGCTCTCTGGTGTGCGCTGCCTTTCACGGTTCCTTGATCACCAAAAAGTCAGCGCGGGAATGAATACCCTTAGGACCTCGGGTCTTTGATGTGACAGCCTCATTTTCCAGGGAGAGAAACTGAGGCATGGAGAGTGAGGGGCAGTGATTTTGAGCCTCCTGCCTGCCCGGGACAGATGCTCTAATGGGAACGTTGACTGAAAGACGCAGCCTGCTCCTTCCTTGTTGTGATCTTGCTCCCAGGATGTGACAGGTCGTGACTTTTAATGTTTGCCATTAGAGCAATTCTTAGTAATTCTAGTTACATTCGTTCGACTAACTCCAGGCACCAGCTAAACAGGAAGAGACATATTTATTTGGTAAAGAAAGATTTCATTTTCATTAAACACCCCCACCTGCCAAATTGTGTAACCCCTGTCCACAGCTTGTTTTCCTGACTGCTGGTAAGACTCTGAAACTTCTGACAAGCAGAATTATTTATATATGTCATGATGTTTCCTATTTCAAGCTGTTTGCCCTATTCTGGGCTCTGGACGTTTATAGTGAATGAGAAAGCTCGCTCTCAAAACATGTTGGTCAGCTTTGTGTTTGTTTTGTTCAAACACCAGAGGATCCTACCCCGCCTGCCCCAGGAAGCTGGTAGGTGTGCAGAGAGGGAGGGAGAGTGTCAACAGTGAGCGATCCAGTCCCATGGGCTTGCTGGCCGCTCCCATTGAGCCAGAAGTGAAGATGTAACCAGGAAGGAGGGAACGGGGAGCTCATGAGCAGGGCAGACCTGGAGAGTGCTCCTGGGGGAGGAAACCACTTCTCCCCACGCTCACACTGTCCAGGAGTGGAATACAGTGAACTACGCCCCAGGTTTAAGGGTATTTAGGGCATTGCCCCAGGCACTGTAGAGAGTACCATTTAAATAGTTGACACCATACTTGCCTTTGTCAATGGTATTATTTTAAAAGGGAACCAAAAGGTTTAGATGTTTGCTTTTGGTCATATTTTTCTTATAAGAAAATTGTATCCTGTAAAACCACAGGATGTTTCTCACCAGGTTCAGATTGGGATCTGTGACTTAGAAATTCCATGCTGGTGTGGCTGGTTACAACCTGATGCTGACAGGCATGCTGGAGAGCGTACGTGTGTGTGTGTGTGTGTCACATGTGCATGTGTTTGCTTTGTTATCCTAATAAGTCTCTTCCTGATTATTATTTAAGAAGGAAGAAAATGGAAATGTTATCAAACATGCCTTTTTGGGATCTGTTAAGACTAAAAACCCTACTTTCTAATAAAATGAGTTTCAAGGTTGAAAAATTAGATAGAGAATAAATTAATTCAAGGTAAGTTCTTTAATAACCAACACAGCTCTTTTGCAAATCTCAAGTATGTTAACAAATATCTGGTGGGGGTGCTCTGCATTGTCTTTTTTAGATTTTCTGCCATTTCAGATGTCATTTTACTGGGGGGCAGGGTCTGTGCTGTGTCGTACAGATGGATGGTCGAGCAAATACTCAGTGAAGTTGGTGGCATTTCTCTGGGAGGGTTCATTTACATATTTGAAATATGGACCTTGTGTTCATTGATTGAGATATAGAGATAGCAGTGTAAACCAATTAAAAATGTAAACTAATCAGTTTTCTTTCGCATCCATGTTCAGTGGCTATTTCTTCCTAATTGTTTCAAATTAGAGCTTAGTTGGATGCTGGCTTCCCAGATGTCGTCACCACAGCCTGCTGGGGACACAGGGCTGAGTGTACTGTCTGCTGTAGTGAGGGAGAACTCTGCCTCCACAGTCGTAGCAGCATCTGGACGGGAGAAGGCAAGGACAGAATTTATTGAGAACTTGAAGTTTGGTTTAATGAGAGTCTTTTAATGCAGGGGAGGAGAGATGGGGGTGGTGGGGGGAGGGCAGCTTGATTCGGACTGGGTAAGGATCATGGTAAAGTAGTTCAACATTGGCTTTAGGGCTTACACTGTTGGTGCTTCCTGCTGAAGGGTGGATGGGTCTTGAAGGGAGTTCCTGTAATGAACAGTCAGTCAGTTGCCTGAGCGAGAGTCTTTTGGAAAGTGAAGCTATGCTAACGAAGACAATGGAATAGTAAGATCACGTTAATGTGGACAGTAAGCTGTGTGAAGTGGGTGGTTTTTGTCTTCAGTGTCCAAGCTGTGTGTGGCACCACATAGTTTCTGTTCTCGGATTTTGGTCAAAAGGTATCAGAGGCAGAAATAAGCATGATAGATGCTCCAGATGGCAGCTGCAGCCATGTGTTCAAAGCTGACTTTCATGGGTACTCATGGTCATTTCTTCATTCATTCAATAAGCGGATGTTTATAGAGCATGTACGTGTGCAGGTACTGTGCAAGGATAAAAGGTCCCTACCCTCTTGGCCTCTCACTCTTGTGTGGTACAGCGTTGTCTGGGTCTCTTTCAGATCATAAACAGTCAATAACCTTGTTTAACTGGCAGGTGTGTAACTCGAATTCTCGCTGCTTGCTTGTTCTAACAGATCTTGAGTGTTATTTTCGTGTTCGGTTGAAGATTAGGCTTGTCTTAAGACATGTCTTAATGTCTACGGAGTTCACTGGCCTGGATTTTTTTAATGTAGGCAAATTTCTTCTTTTGCATATTCCTAATGTAATGTTTACTGTGGGCCAGCTGTGTTCCAGGCACTGCGCTGTTGCAGTAGAAATATAGGTGTGCAAACTATACAAATTAGGCAATTTAAATATACACAAATAATCGAGACTTCAGCAGTCAATTGCCATTCCACTCCACAAATACTGAATGACTTCAGTTTGCCAGAGAGTATGCTAGGTGTCAGCAATGAAAAACTATGAGGGGCTGTAAGATAATATAGTTTGGAAACAACCAGAATGTAGAGTGGCCGACCCCACAGTGAAAACCCAGGCACACAGGCCAACCCGGAGCACTCTGTCAGGGGCACGTGAAAAGACGTGGCCGAGCTTTTTAAGCAACACACTGGGGTGGCTTTGGCAACGTTGAAATGATCCCAGGGATCTAGTAGATGGATGAAATCACCACTGTGAAGTTTGAGAAAGACCATGGTGTCTAGTTAGCTTCTCACCGGGGAAGAGGACCTTCATCTGAGGACAAAGGGTGGAAACGGAGGCTCCTTTGTGGTCTTAGGCACTAAGAGCCCGCCCTGCTGGAGAAGCAGCATCTCCTTAAAGGACACCTTAGAAATGCACGATGTCTGCTTCCAAAGGACCGTCTGTTCCTGGCACTTGTTTTCCCTGGATGACTTGACTGCATGTGACTGAAAGGTGATGTGAACTCAGACCATCGTGGGTGGAAAGAGCAAAGTACCAGCGATGAGTGGACCTGGCTCTAGCACCTGCTGGCCACCTGACCTTGGACAAATTACTTGACCTCGTTACATCTGTAAAATGAGGTGTTTGGATTAGAAGCTTTGGATGGTTCCTTCCAGCTTCGACATTCTTATGTCTAAATACGTGGTCTCTCGGATGAAATGTATGAAACTAACTTTGTCAAAGGAGGAGCTGTTATCATACGTTTTTCTCTCTTTCCAGTTTCTCTGCACAGAGAATCTCTCCTACACCTCGCTGTGAGATGGGGCCTGGCTAAGCTTTCCCAGTTCCTCTTGTGTCTCCCTGGGGGAGTCCAGGCCTTGGCTCTACCCAACGAAGAGGGTGCCACGCCATTGGACTTAGCTTTACGTGGCGGACACTCGAAGCTGGTTGAAGACATCACAAAGTGAGTCTGCAACTTGATTGTTTCTCTCCATCTGTTTCTATAAAGTCAGCCAAGCATTGTGGAAAAATGGAAATAGCCAAACCACAAGCTGATATTGGCTTGTTTTACCATTAGTTCCCAGATATAAAGTACAGATATGCATATAGTACATAAACTGATATACAGATATATTTGGTATTAACATTTCCTGGGGGAGAAGGGGTTAGGGAGAAAATGTCTCAAAAGGCTCTGCAGGGGCCATAAGAAGAAAAAAGGTTGGGAAACAGTAGTCTAACCCCCACTTATTTTTCAGGTTTCAGTTTAAATGTCACTTCTTCAGAGAGGCCTTCTTCTATGTTATGGTCTTTTGTGATTATGATACTTCACAGTAGTAATTGTGATTAAAATTATGATTCACACTATTAATCATAATTTAGAACTCTGTATGCATAGTGACCATCTGTTTCATATGTCTCCCTCCTAAATCACCTGAGAGCTGAAACTATTTCTGTTTTCCCCACGGCAGTATTTTTAGTGCCCTGTTCAACAGATGACATTCACTGAAAGAATATAAACTTTTGTTGAACCAGTGAATAACACACAAAACTTAAGATACTAGGTAGGCAATGGGGTAGTTATTAGGATCTAGTGAAATAATGTAAAGGAAATAATTTGTCAGCTGTAAGGTTCTCTATTGATGATATCAACACTTTCAATGAATAGTTAATGTATTGTTGGTTCTTAGAATGGTTCAGATTGGTGTTATTCTTATGAAAGGAGGATTCATATATAGTGATTTTCTTGACTTAACATGTGGCAAAAAAATAGATAAATGGGAAAGTACATTGAAAATTACAAAGTACTACATAAATATTGTCAGTGTTATTCCATGGTATGTCTCAATGGACTGGTTCTTCTTGCTGGCTCATGGAACTCAATGTGATTAATTTATGGTTATATGTTGCATAAATGGATATTGGAGTAGAAGTCAGCTGTTGTGTTTTTCCCCCCTCATTTGGTCAAATGACCATCAGCCAAAGGAATAGCCCATCCAAAAGGAATTACCCTTTTCTTTGCTCTAATACAACCCCACTGTCTTGGCTAACAAGACCAAGGCAGGACTACCTCCTTTGACTTAGTCATTCTGGATAGTTCAGTGTCACACTGAGGTCCTGGAGGCTGGCTTCTTCATTGTCTATAGCTTTGTTATCTTTCTACTGTGTCCAAGACCAGAAGATATTATGTGTTTTTAAAAGTTTACACCTCTAATAAATCCATTCATGGAGGGGATTAGAAGTAGACAGTAAGCTAAATTCTTATTCTATGATGGAGCTTCCATTTTCTAAATGAGTAACAATGATCTTATTGCTCAGGCTCGGAGTCCACTCACCTCAGTGGTTTGTTGTTGGCACGTCTGGAAGATTCTGGAGTCCCTGCCAGTAATTAGCATTGAGAGTTTGAGGAGATGCTCTAAATCTTAGAGTTCAAGATTTGGATTTTTATGGATCTCTTTTCATCATACCGTATGATGAAGATAACATTTATTTGATTGCAAGTATACTACATTTTTGTAAAGCAAGCAGTCATTAATAAAATGGGGTCACGAAAGAATTAGAAAGAGGCATAGACCTAGTTCTGTGAAGTGAGGAATCTGGGAGCAATCTGTGGGATGTGACAGCATGCTGAGGTGGCTGTTGTCTTGGGGTGCTAACATTTTCCTCCTGAGGCTTCTTTACTGTTGCAATTGCATGACCTTATAAGTCATCCAGAATATTGTGTTACTAACCGCAAAGCCCACATATAGCTAATAAATTTGCAATTGTTCTTAGCCAAAACATAACAGAAAATAAGCTTATATGCAAGAATTTAGTTTGGGAATATTGTTCCTTTGTTTACGAGTGTATTCAAGACTACAACAGCATCAGATTCATGGGTGTTTTAACTTGCATGAGAAAATGATTTCCAACAGTGGACCAGCGTGTTATGACTGTCTCACTTGTTTGGGACATCCAAACCTCACCATGCTCCCTGGAGATCCTATCTGTTTTCCCTTGTAATCACCTAATAAACTCTTGGCTGCCAGCTAATTTATTCTACATGTGGCCCCATTAAAGCAAGAGGCATCTTTCCAGATTAAAAGGAGAATGAAATAAGGTAAAGTACTATATTTAAAAGTCAGTACTGTTTCATTATTTATATAAATCTTTAAAGTGTGTAATATATGTGTATGGCTTTTCAATCGACATCTCTAGGTGGAAAAACAAAGATGGCTTCATCAGGACCTGTTTACTGGTCTTATGTATTGTTAGTAGGTGGCTTTCCAGGATCGTCTTGCCCGTTGGATTTGTAATGTCGGGGGCACTGAGGGTCTTGGGGTCTTGGGGTTGGTGTCTCCAAAGCTGTGCATGGTTTTGATTTGTGATGCTTCAGTTTCCAGGGCAGACGTTCCCCGGGCTTCTCCCGAGCGCAGCTCAGCGAAGATGCCTCCCTGCGGTATATTCATTCGTCAGAGACGCTGACCCTGACGCTTCACCACACAGCCGAGCATTTGCTGGAGGCAGATATTAAACTCTTCAGGAAATATTTTTGGGATAGAGCCTTTCTCATCAAGGTTTGTGCTCAATTATTCTGTTATACAGTAACTCACGCTCCTTGAGAGTGTAGGCAGTAACTCGTTGTTTGGGGAACAGTATTTTTGGGGGTAACTCTTTCTTTTCTAATGGAACCTTGGGGGACATGGCATGGAAACTGTGTTACATCAGTAGAGTAAAGATGATTATATAATATTTTGGCAATAGAAAATAATGTGTGTAATATTCTCGTTTCCTTTACTTGTCATGAGCCAGCCCTACCAGTGCTGGGTTTTAATATGCTCATACTGGATATTTTCTGATCTAGAATTCTTACCGAAGGCAGTTGCCTTTAGGGTCGTTTTACATGTGTAATGTCTGCTTGAGGGCTCCTTTATGGCTTTGGTGCATTTAAGCATTTGTTCCAGAGTGCAGATTCTTCTTGAATGGGGACTGGTGATCTAAAACCAGTACTTTCTCAAAGCGGCTTTTCCACCTCCCACCACGGCCCAAACACCAGCCTTGAGTGCTGTCATAGCGTGCCTGTCTCAGGTTTGAAAGAGCTCATCTTCATCATTATTATTTTTTTGTGGGATCTGGAAGAATATAAGGAATATTTAGACCTTTTAGTCATTATTAAGCAGAATGTGATATTGAGTAAAAGGCCTCGAGTCAGTGCCATTGGTGGTGCTCCAGGGTGTACGGGTTCAGTCACTGGATCCCGTGACGCCCCTCGCACCGCGTCCTCGAGTACGCTCGTTAAATAAGGCACAGGGTGCATGCGTGTACAGGCTCCACAGAGCGAAGAGTCAGTTTAGAAAACTGATATTGTCATTTATCACAGTTTTGGCTTTTGTAAAATGTTTGCTTCATAAAATTAAAGATTTAGCCAAAGATATTATATATCAAATAAAGATTATTATTGGCTTACTCCATATAAGGTTTTATTTAAACAATTAAAAGGAAATGTGCTCTTTAGAGTATAAAGTACTTCTCTTTGTGGGGTTTTAGGACATTTAGTGTATAATTTTTTGGCATGTGGCATGGTATTTCCGTATTTGGTTAAGGATACTTGTCGTTTAAAGACCCTAAGCCCTCAGTGTCCCTGTGGCCTCTCACCCAGGCGGGCGGAGGGCTGGCCTTGCGAGCAGCGTTCCTCAGGATGAGCTCGTCTCCCCGTGGCTCCATCAGGGCAGAGCTCAGCAACATATGTTCTTAGAGGGGGCACTCAGACCACAGCATGGCACCCGGTGACAAACTCCCAAAGAGGATAGGGTGTGCTCTCTGTATCTAGCAAAACGTATCGAACATTCACGTCGTTAGAAGATCTTCCAGCTTCTTAGGCTGGATTTGTGATTTCTCATCACACATTTGGGATAATACTGATGACCTGAGGAAGATTTAGGAGGAGTAAATCTAAATACTTCAGTAATTTCTTGTAGTGAATTTTATAGTAAAAAAGACCAAAGGGAGATCGCTTTCCAGTTTCTGAGATTGTCATTTTATGGGAAACACTCGCTGACAGCGTCAGTTGCACCGGGCTGCCCTGTGTTCTGGCTGGCAGCCTTCGTCTTTTTTGCTTCCTACTTGGAGTGTGTGGCTGGCTAGTGAGGGGGGAATAGTGCTCCGGTTCTTTAGAACCTCCAAAGTCATTAATTTTTACCTGCCCGACAAAATGTTGCTATAGTATTCTTGGGTTTAAAATCTCTCTGTGGCACTTCTTCCTGGGTTAGATGTTATTAAATGTAAGCAGGTGGTAATTGTTATATAGGTTGTCCACACTAGAGCTTTACAATTTGGGGAAACAAATGAGATAACGTATAGTCATAAAGTACTCATGCTTTATTACCTCTTAGATGTCTGAAAGTCTGTTTTTATATGACAGCTATGCACGATACCTTTGATCTGAGGGACTAATTTATTCTCAGTGAGGAGATGGCAGCCTGGTGTCAGACACCAGCATTGCCTGATACCCTTTCCCCTAGGCTTGGCGGTTGCCCTCGTTGACAGACAGGGTTTCGGGGTCATGGCTGACCCCAGCTCAACATGTGGAGCAGGTGCTGTCTTTGCCCTGAGCCGACGTGCTGAGCCCTCCTCCAGCCCGGGTGCTCAGGCTGCCGTCTCCTCACTGCACCCAATATGCACGTGCTCTGTCCGTCCTTCAGGTGCACAGGGGGCCCTAGGCAAGAGAATGCTGTGTCCTGGGGGCGAGGCTGGGGGCGTTAATGGCCCTGGAGGGTAGGTGCCTGGGTACTTCTTGTTCCATACCCCTTAGTGGTTTGGTAAATTGTGTATATTTTCATATTCTTTCTGCTCTGGCCTCAGGATGTTCTGAAATAGCTAGGAACCAGGCGCTTGATACACTGAGCTTACTAAGGTGCCCATGGGACTCTGGGGTCTGTCAGTGGCAGGCTGCCTGCCCAGGTTTGCCCCGGGTTTCTTTTGGAACTCGTGCTGCCGAGTCTTGGGCTGTTTTACCATTTGGTGCTTCAACACTTCATTCTGTTTCTGCACATTTTCACTGGCTCTGGGGAATCCATCTGAAAAGAAAATATAGCTTGCTCTGAGAGGATGCTCCTCTCAGGCTCCCCAGCCTGGTCTCGGCGGGACGGCCCGTACCTGCCATTCATCATGAGTCCTCCCGGTGATGAAGGTCCTCTCCCATCGTCTGAGCCCCGCCATCCCTGTGTCTTAGGGTGTGGATGGCGGTGGGTCTCAGCGGCAAGATGGAGGTCTCTCTCCAGACCTCCCCAGGCGGTGCCTGCGGCCTGTCCCAGCCCCCAGATCCTTGACTGCGGTTTTTATCTCTTTGTTGCGTATTTGAAGCCTCAAACGGTTTTCAGTGTCTTCTTTTTCTTCCTTTCTTAGGCTCTTGAAGAGCAAGCAGCCAGGCCAGAGGAGAGATCAGATATGCCCTCCAGTGCTGCAGAAACCCAAGAAGGTAGGCGTGCTCCTTGCCCCCTTGAGGGACCCGGAAGGTGCTCAGGACCGACTGGTTGGCTGGTGCTTGAAGTGCGCCGTGGGCAGAGTGGGAGCCAAGGGCCTCGGCGGCAGGATCAGGGCTGTGGGTACAAGGCCTCGGGTCCTCCGACAGCATCGAACGAAGTGAACTGTTTCTACTTTAGTTCAACTGGCGTTTATTGAGAGCCGACTGCCAGCCCCTGGGGCCGGATCCTCCCTCGTTCCTGACTTTCAGGGTGCTCTCCTGATGCACAGATCGCTCTCCTTGTTCCCAGGTTTGGCTTGTTCCTTCCATTCAGTCCTTCATCAGTCACCTGCTAGCTGTTCCTCCTTCGTGGAACTTCTACTGTGTGCTGGGCTAGCGGCTTTTACAGAGGGTGGAGACTGTGAAGGTGTTTCTGTGACATGAGGGTCAGGGAACATCACTGGCATGTAGAGGTGGAGGCCAGGATGCTGGATGGTCTTCAGGGAATAGACAATCCCACTCAACCCAGGCTGTCCTGCTCACTGTTCGCAGTCCTGATGGAGCTTCAGAGACTGAATATATAAATCTCCTTGAGGTGGGAGTCCTGCCCAGAGGTCTATTTTTTATAATACATCATCACTACTCCGTTCCACATTGAGCACAGGGACTCACGTTGGTGCCGCACTTGTTCATAACACCCACTCATTTGCAGGAATGTCGTCCTTCCACATTTCCCCCAATGGGCATGTGATCTCTACCTCAATTCAGGTTCTTGTCCCTTTTCCCTATACAAATGTCTCTTCTGTTAGCAAGTCCTAGTAGTAAACATGAGTTTTCACTCTATGGAGCATTCTTACCTCTGTTCTTGAATATTCCTGTCCTTCTTGTCTGGAATGGGTTCTGACTTTGTTTTGTCTTTTTTCCAAAGCTTGACAGTTTACAAGAATCTGACCACATCACTATGTCTTCTTGGGTACTGAGGGCAATGGTTTTACATGTTGAAATTCGTATTATCTTATCAGTTACTTTTCTTTTGTGTTATATTTTAGAGTATACGTTGACTTTTGTTTTTTGAAATCATATGTGAGAATAGGGTTCTGTGTGTTTGGGGGGTAGGGTTATGTTATCTGTTGATTTCAGGAAAGGGGAAAGGGGTGTTATGAAATACCTGTTAATGTAAAGGGACAGTGATCTGATCAAGCTGAGATCCACCATGCTGGAGGCTGGGTTTAGGGAGGAAAAATAGGACAAGACCCTTGAGCTTATGTACCAATGTCAACAGCTGATTATTGCCTTTGGTTCTGCTTTTAACTGACGCCATAGAATATTTGCATTCTGGGTATCTATCAGATAGTATAATCTTAAACTCTTTGGCCCCGTGTTTGTTAAAAAGTAGTCCTGGAGAGGAATATTTCTGTGTGGCCCGTCCACATTGCACACGCTCCTGGGTTAACTCTGCGCAGCTGAGCTTCCTACCCAAACTGCAGCGGCTTGGAAGCCCCGTGGAACTGCCCTCGGTACGCTCCCCTGAGGATGTGCCGGCCATGCTGAGGGAGTTGTGGCCGCCCTGCTGCCTGAGGAGGTGGCAGGTAACTTCGCGCTTCCTCTGTGAAGCCCTGTAAGGGAAGCCTCTCTCTGGTCTTGTGTTGGGAATGTGGCTTCTCCTGAGTGGCTGGCTTTCCGTTACTTCTGTAAGAGTAGCTGATCAGGTTTCTTACTTCTAGTTGGCTGATAAAAAACTTGCAGCTAAGTTTCTGGCCTGTCAGTTGCAAATATGTCGGCTCCTCCTGGCTGCGTTTTTGTATTACCCTTATTTCTTATGTAAGCCTTCACCCTTGCTTTTCTTTATTTTAAAATCAACTTCTGGGTTTTCCTTTATTGTCTTATATATTTTTCTCCCTTGTAATCCACCTTCAAACTAACTTAGAACAAAATGAGGTTGAAATAAGTACTTAAATTCCAAGTTCATGCCCTTAAGGGGCTGACACTTTTCGATGGGGGCAGAAAAACAAACTGTCCCAGCACATTATGATAAGCGCTACAGGAGTATATGCAAAGAGCTCTAGGAAACTCTGGAGTGTGATGGTGGACGCGACCCTGGAGCTGTGATCTAATGGAGGGAAGTGAATTCTAGACAGTGGAAATACACGCGGCACCGAATCCGGACCCAGATGATGCATTGGAGGAAAGGCAGGTTACCTGGACTATGGGTGTGTGTGTGTTGATGCCAGGAACATCGACTGAGAGCGAGGCGGATCTGAGTGGCGGATCTGAGGGCTTGTACGTGAGACAAGGGACTGGAGCTCCACCCTGACCCACGGGGAGCTGTTTTAAGCAAATTAGATTAGATCATTATTTTAGGAAGTTTATTCTGTGAGAGTGTGGAGAATGGATTGGAGGGGCCAGGGGGCTGCTGAAAGTCACGTAGCAGAGGGTCTGCTCTGTAGCAGTGTGATGAGACTGGACGGGTTGCAGATGAGTATGTCTTGAAGGTGTAGGACGTCAGGTGGGTGTCACGGGGAGGGCCGAGGGCAAGTCCTCTGTTCCTGGTGTGTTCCTGGGTGGGATAGGCCCTCTAGGATGCAGATTTGGGACAAAAAAAGGTACTCAGTTTTAGACAGGTTGAGTCTGCTGGACCTAAAGGGCAGCCAAGTTAATACACCTGCGAGCTGGACTGAAGATGCTCAACCAATAAGCAAAAACACTTGGACAGAAACTTAAGTCCTCTAACTCCAGATAGTTAAGGTGTGTATTTTGTAGGCCTGCTAGGCAATGCCTTTGTCTTCCTTGGAGGACATGTTTGAAACTGTGCTCACACTCCAGCAGATGGCAGTATTCAACTACAGTGGAAATACTCAGTGAGTGTCCATTCATGAGGCCGGACGAGACTCAACTGGAAGAACAAAACATCTGAGCTTTTTTTTTTTTAAACTCCAAAAGTAAACTTTCCCTGTGAGATATACTGGAAGGGTCTCAATAGATCATGCTCTTCTGTTCCTCCTGGGGCGGTGGGAGCGGGGGAAGCTCTTTGCTTGTGTCTGCAGCTGTCTTTGATGGAAAGACTCTCTCATAACTTTAGCCTCAAAATTAACTTTGCTTTTTCTGTTAGTGTGATAAATGGTTTCATTATTGTCTCCATAATCTCATGATTATAATTGTACTCCCAGAATGATGGGAACTTATTCCAAAGGAATTAAATGGCCAAAAAGTCCTCTCAATGTTAATATGTTCCAATTAATAAGCTAATTGTTAGTTTTTATTAATAAGTTAATCATTAGTTTTTATTAATAAGCCAATCATTAGTATTAATTCACCAATTGGCAGTTTTGTCCCTTGCTGCCTTTGTCCTTATTTGATCTCTTACCCTAAGATTTCCTACAGAGCATTAGACAGAACGCCAATCTTGGAAGATGCTCTGAAAAATAAGGATTCTTTGGCCAAAGAAGATTTTTTTGGCCAGAAAATGCTGTATATGAAACGTCCATGTCAGAGATTCAGAATACATGTAATGTTCCGTAGGTTCTAGGAAGTCTTGCAGTCAAGAAACCTGTTGGCTGGTGCAGTGTCACTGGTGAATATGAATGTTAGAGATTATTTCTAGTTCCGTTATAGTTTGGCTGTAAGAAACATGTTTATTAAGTTTGGTAAGTCTGGTTAAGAGGGGTAATCCTTCCTTCTGGGTGGGCCTTGAAGGTAAGATTAATCAGCCTTTAAAACAGAATAGCTTGGAGTTGCTGATAACATTATCTGTGGAAGGTTGCTATAGCAATGCTGGTTTGATTGCACCGTGCAATTGGTGGCACAGCGGTGGATGTAAAAGGATCCTCATAATTTAGCAGAAACTCGCCTGGAGCAATTTAATTAAACTCAGTGGAATGAGTGCCCAGTTCTTTAAAAGCCCTGAGATACAGTTCCATGAAGTCCTAGATTAGTTAAAGGCACGATTATCCTGAATCCGCACATGGCCCCAGATATTTTTGATGATTTTAGGATAAAGGTTTTAAAAATTTGTATGTTATTTAAAAAATGATGTAGAAATTTTATGAAGATTTTTCTATTTTAGTATAATTTGTAGTATTTGAAAATAAAACAAAATTGCATTAGCCTATAAGGAAAAATGTACACTGGCAGTGTACACAGATGAGCTTTTTGAGGGGGCAAGAAGCTGGGATCTGAGCACAGTACCGGATGTGTTACTGCGCCCGGATTACCAGACCACGGAGCCTCCTTCGTTAGCGATCTTGAATAAAACGTGTCCTATTCTTGATAGATCTCTCAGTACAGAATTCTTTAGAAATGCAGAATCATTATCATTTGAGAGCTTATGGTCTGAAATGCCTTTAAAGGAATATGCCGTAAAGGGCAAAATAAAAATGTGAGTGACTCTCTAGACGTCTGTGCAGACGTGTCTGTGGAAATTGTGGTTCTGGTTGCCCTCGCCTGCTTTTTTAGCATCTCGGTGGTATCTTCCCCACATACCCAGTTGTTCAGGTTAGGGTATGCGTGTTTTGAAACAAAACCCTTACTGTGCTCCTATAATGTGGTAAATTCCATGGTAGGTGCTTCGCATCAGTTTTCTGCTTCTAGGCAGTGGGATGGAAAGCTTTACCTTCACTTAGTGTTTTGGGCTTTGCCGCTTAAACAGCAGGGTTTCGAAGGGTGAGCTGGTCCATCTTGACGTTCAAATCACTGGCCATGCTGTTCGCGAACATGTTACTCTGCTGCCACCTGGAGGCCTCGTGTGGGGTGTGCATTTAAAGGTAGGCGGAACCTCCCGGGAACAGAAGCTTCCAGGCTGGGTGTCAGCTACCGCCGTGTCCTTCCTTAGTCTCTATCAAGGTCAGTTGACTTGACCATACGAAACTGAGGCTATTGCTTTTTCTCTTTTCATTTTAGAAGCTAGTATGCATTATGAGTTCAAGAGCAGTAAACTATGGTGGAGTGCACATATCTTATTAATTAGCTTATTGGATACAAAGCAAATTCAAAGTAATTGTTATGCAGAGTTTTAAAACATATCCTGACTTTGGGATTGCTGACTTCTCTGCTCCATCCTCCCCTTATTATGATTCATGGTGGGAAGCCACGTAAATGAAAACCTTATGCTTTTTCTAAGCAGACACGTGAATGAGAACCCCTAGCAGTAAGAAGAGCTTGAATAAATCCGCGTGGAGGTTTGAGGCCTGAGGTGACATAACTTAATCAAAGCTGCAAAGTGGAGCAGGGAGCATCCAGTTAATGCCCTGGGCAGGGAGGCTGAGGGTCCAGATGCCTGGGACCCAAGATGTGGCATTTTAATACGCATTCAGGGTAAAGATTTTTAGCCATCAGCCCTTGCTAGGGGTGCCCAACACTTTGATTTCCCCCCAGGCCCAAACCTGCTTTTGGTAGTTATTTTGACAACAGTGGCTCTTGTTTACGGGCAGCTGAGCGGTTTGGGGAGAGAACCAATCAGTCAAGACACAGAGAAAAACAGCTCTTAACTGTGCCTTCCTGTTCACCCCAGAACATCCCGACCACTGATGTTTCCAGGAAAGCCTTTATTCAGAACGAAGGCACGGCCAGCCTGGGCTTGTTTAGCTCAGCCTGACACTGTCCGAGTCGGAGCCCAGGGGCTGCGCTGGTGTCCGCGACTTCCAGCGAGGTGCGAGGAAGGGCCAGACCTCACCTAGAGTGAGTTATTGCTGTTGTGAAACGTATATGAAATCTGCAGTATTTGAGGAAATAGACGTGTGAGTTTCCTTCCTCAGGTGGGCGTGAGTCATGTCCTTAGAATCTGTGTGATTTTGAAGAGCTTTCGGACAGGGAACAGCCTTTCTTCTGAATATAGGGCATTTATTTATTTAATGATCGTTTTTTTCCTCAGGATTTCCTGTGAGAGCCCCTGGTCTTGTTTACATCTCGGTCTGCACAAATAATAGCAGAGTGTGGGCAGTCTGGTCATCAGATGCTCTGCAGAGAGCTGGTTTTTAAGAAATCTAATCTAAAAACGTAGCCCAGCACAGCCGGCTGCTGGGCAGCTCATTTCTATCTGTCATCCAGTTCCTTCTTCTTTTTAACGAAAGCTCCTACCAGCAGATCCTGATGAGACTTATTCCTTTTGCAGAGATTAAGGATTTGGTGTCTGGCAGATCATTTCCTGAGGAGGAGGATGTAAAGGTAAGGATTCCCCGCCGGTCTGTCTTCTTTGCCCTTCTCTGCAGAGTTGAGGTGGAAGTGATGCTCTAGTGGTAATAAAAATAGAACCCTCCCCCCCCCCCCCCCAAAATACCAAACCCCCAGGGATGTGCCCCAAGCCACATTCAGAATAATTTACAATTGTTTCCTTTATTGAGTTTTCAATCTTTGCTCTTTGTGGCCAACCCTAGCTGTCTTCCTGGGTTGTAGTTGTACGTTCAAGGTGATTGAGTACATTTTCCAAGACAAATTTGTACTTGAAGATGCTCTCTACAGATGTTGGCCAACCACGCGACTGTGAGAATAAACCTGGGAAGTATTCTCTGAGAATAAAATTATGGCAGATAGCTTCCAGGCATGTTCCAGCCTGAGATGGAGCCTTTTTTTATTTTTAGCTTCAATATTAATTAAGTACAAGACTAGTTTTCTGTTTAAACGTGGGGGTACATGTGACATGTCTTTACTGATGTTTTCTAAGGTGGTTTTTCCAGTTTATGAAATTAAAGAAACAAACATTAGTGGATCATGTAAATAATGTTTTAGACACCCATCTGACCTTTTCTTTTCCAGTGTGCGAAAAGCCTGGCAGTTCAACTGAATGAGTATGAAGACCGGGACAGTCTAGATTTGGGTATGTTCTGAGATGTTGCTTTCCCCTGCACTCACAAGGGTATCACAGACCCAGGTATACAGAGGACAAAAAAAAAATACGGTTAAAATAAAATCTTCCTTCCTGGGAGCCTCATCTCTCTCTTGAAACCCAGCCAATTCAATGTTCCTTGCAGCATCAGTCAGCTCAACATCTGACTCTTGCTTGCTGCTTTCTGCCCCCTTCTCTGTCTCAGAAGGTTCTTTTAGAATCGATTATCATTTTCTTTGCAGATAGTCAGGTGACTTTTTTTTTTTTTTGAGGAAGATTAGCCCTGAGCTAACTACTGCCAATCTTCCTCTTTTTGCTGAGGAAGACTGGCCCTGAGCTAACATCCATGCCCATCTTCCTCTACTTTATATGTGGGACGCCTACCACAGCATGGCTTTTGCCAAGCGGTACTATGTCCGCACCGGGGATCTGAACCCGAGAACCCCAGGCCGCCGAGAAGCGGAATGTGTGCACTTAACTGCTGTGCCACCGGACTGGCCCCATCAGGTGACTTTTTAAAATCCAGCTTCAGGGGTTGAGTCTCCATTTAGGATCTAAAAAACAAAACAAATCAAAACAAAGAAGGCGATCAAAGCTTTTCCTGAGCAGTTTCACTCTGAGCCAGATGCTGGCTTGGCGTTTGTCATGTTACCTGGTTCCTATGAAGTAGGCAGGCATGACCAGCTTCCATTTCAGGTGAGGCCACTGGTGGAGTCACTGGTGGAATTCAGACTGATCCCTTCATTCCGCCGGGCCCCACATCCCCAGGCTTGCCACTATCCTGTTTTGATACCCAGTGGGACCCCTCGGAGCTGAGCCTGTGTCATCTTAGCCCCTGGACTCAGGAAAAGACCAGATGCTTGTCCTGGGGTGTGAGTGTGATGTGAGTGTCCTTTCAGAGGAGCCAGAAGCTCCGTTGGCCAGTGAAGGTGTTTCCTCCCATGGACCTGGGAATTCTCATCTGCTCAAAAGCATTCTAATTCACAATTCCCTGAGGGCACCTCCCCAAATCTCCTCCCTGGGCGTTTTCTAGTTCTTTGGGGTTAATCGGGGATCCAGACTTACGTTCTAAGTTAGAGCCTCATGAAGCTTTTGGGGATTTGAGGACATACGCAGGCTAGGCTATCAGCAGATGCCTTGTCTGGGCACCTGGGTGGTCTGTGAAGACCTCGGGGCTGCTAAGTGGGAAGCAGATAAGCACAAAACTTCCCAGTTGGTTTCTTGCAGCTCTGCGAAGCTGAGGCAGCTCACACACCTGGAAGGCACCTGGGCAGAGCAGCATGAAGAGTTGCAGGGGGTGAGGTGGTGGCGGCGCTGGCGGCAGCCCAGTGCTCAGGCTGACATGAGGTCAGGGAAGAGCAAGGCAATGCCCAGGGTGAGTTTGATGATGCAGGCAGTGGGCCTGCAGAGCCTGGCGGGGCAGAGGGCCCGCTGGAGGCCAGGGGAGCATTGCCGGCGCGTTTGGCAGGCACGCCACACAGCAATCACAACAGTTGGGAACTCATGAATAAAGCAGAGCATGGAGGAAGCACCCTCAGCGTTGGTCAGTTGGGCTGCTGGTAGCTTGGCCACAAGTCAGAGGTGGCCTCAGCATCTCCCTGCCTGAGGTTCTGCTGAAATTGGAACAGAAACAGCCTGTACCAAGCAATAGGCATGCCTTTAATATCTCTGCCGTACAAGGTCAGAGTAATAATTCACTTCCAGGAGGGGGGAAGAGGAAAGTGAAAGGAAAGCAAACATCTCCGCATGGAGGACTGCTGTGAGCCTCTGGAGCGGGAGCGGTACTGTGGCTCCTGCACACAGGATGTCTCGTCTACAGTTGCATCACGCTTCCAGGAATGTCAGCTTTGAAGAATGTTTACCAAGACAGATTGCTGGTGGGGGAGGAGTGTTGGCTCTTAAAAGTATGAAATAACAGGATTATTTTAATTCTGGGCTTTAAAAACTCACTCCATTCTCAAACTGGTGTCCCTGCCATGTGAGAAGACACATGTTAGGGAAACTGTAGCGGCTTGACCTACCCGGAGGGTCTCGTCGGTAACATCGTCGTGTCTGAGGAGGATTGCAGTGAAGAACTGGAGAGTGACGTGTGTCTGACTCTACTCCGGTGTTTTATGAAAAGGCTCATGAATGATTGTTCCCTGTGCTAGCATTTGCTTTTTTGTTCATTTAAACTTTTTGGATTAAAAAAAGTCACCTGACTTTATGCAAAGAAAATGATAATTGATTTTAAAAGAACCTTCTGAGACGGAGAAGGGGGCAGCAAGCAGGGAGCAACAGTCAGATGGTGAGCTGGAGGCTGGGACTGAAAACGGCTTTCCCCAAGGCTGCCTTGCAGCGGTTGTGTTATTTTCTATGTGCTTGTATTCTGCTCAGGCTCTAAGGAAATGCTGATAAATGCGGGGTCGAGGTCTGTGTCTTTGCTGACTTGTATCATTTAACATGGTTGATATGAGTCTAGTGACCTCATAGACCTTTCCGTGATGGTGGACACGTTCCATATCTGCACTATTCGGTAGGGTAGACAGTAGCCACGTATGTCTATTGAGCCTGTGATGCGTCGCCGAGAAACTGACTTTTAAATTTTATTTAGTTTATTGCACTGGATGTTCTCTTTGTGTTGTTGACCCGTCAGAGCATCAAGAATCATACTGGCCGTTAGTTTATATCCTGAAAATGACTGTTGGTTGGAGGAATGACGTCTCGGGTGGGTGACAGCTGGTAAGCTCGTCTAAGCCAGTGCCCCAGGACCATCGCAGCAGGTAGTGACAGTAAGGTTACATTTGTGATGAGTCCAGGAGCCGTGGCCCCGTTCTGTGGATGCCGACGGGCCTGGCATTTTGCTCCAAGGGGAGAATATCAGTTGGAGGGCTGGGATCCAGTTCTGTTGCTGCTACGGTGGAGAGCAGGACTCCTCAGCGTCCGGTTCCTTCTCAGTGCAGGCGGGCAGAATAGGGGAGAGGGCAAAGCACTTGGAGGAAGTGGAAGAAGTGAAGGCAGATGAAAAGGGTCACTACGGAAATTAAGAAGGAAGAAAGGGTCCATTTGGCTCAAGTATATGGGACTAAATATGATTAAGAAGTAGAAGGTCAATAGTGGGCAGCAGCAAATGCTGTGCCGAGAAGGGACGTGAACATCCAGCGGGAGCAAGGGGACAGCCTGTGGGAGGTCCTGGGGTGGGTGAGCTTCGGCTGCCCTGTTGGAATCTACTGCGAACGAAGATGCAGAAACCATCACTGAATCAGCAGAGCTGGAAATGGCTTGATGAGATGCTGCCTCGCAAACTCTACTTTTGAAAGGTCGACTCTGAAACAATGAAGATGTGCGGCTGGTTAGAGAGTAAGGTTTTCTGTGAAAAGTGAAGCTCCTGCTTGAGGATTGAGAAACAAGAGTGCCAGTGTCTGAGGTGAATTACGGGAGCTCCTGGGAGGTGACACTCCTGCTTTCTCAGCAGGTGATATTCAAGAGTGCGAATGAGGTTGTGTGTGACAGACCGGATTTAGTGACGCTGACACCAAAGCCGATTTTCCTGCAATAATTTATTTTAGCTGTGGTCTGCACTGGAGTAAAGATGACTTCGAACTTACTTGGCTAAGGCTGTTTATTGTATGAGTATTTGGATGGAAAAAAATGAAAGACTGGTGAAACTGACATGTTCAAACAAGAGCCATGTGAGCGTGTTTTAACTTTCCCCTTGGGGGAAGGTGGCAGGGAGGTAGAGAGACCCTAGGGGAGGTGGGGATGGAATTGGCTGGCGTCATCCTCCTTGCTTGGGAAGTCCTGGGACCTTGAAGCTCTGGGCATGAAGCAGCACTGTGTCTGCTTTTCCAGGTTTGGCTTGCAGAAACTGGGCTTAGCGCGAGTGCCACAGAAGACTTTAAACAGAATATGGTGATAATTGAGCCATTTGGAAAAAATAGTCTTTTTAAATAAAAAAAATAAATGCTCATAGTAGAAAAATTAAAAATTTTAGAAAGAGTATAAAAAGAGAAAAACATCCCTGTAATCATCCTACCCCAAAGCAGCTACTATTAAATTTTGGTATATTTTCTACCAGGATTTTTCCTATGCATCTATTTTTTATATAGTTGTGATCATGTAAACAACAGAATTTGGGTCCTGCTTTATTGATTTAACATATGCCAAAAGTAAGCTCTGTTTTAGAAGATAGCTTAAAATGGTACTGTAAATTTTTCTATCGAAAAAGATGGATTACTTTTGTAAGAAGAAAAGGAAAAGGTCATAGATTCTCCCCACAGATATTTATCAGCTAGGGCAAAACCCTCCTTTCTGTAATATGTATTTGGTTTTGTAGAGCAGCCTGGATGTCAGTATATCCTCAGGCTCGAATCACAGTTATTCTTTAATACTTTGGGTCACTTCATTGCTACTATTGTTTGTTACTTATGTGTAATATAAGAAAAAGAGAACCTGTTAGTGGGTGCTGGGACAGGGAGGGTGGGCACCACGGAGACAGATGAACCAAAGCTGGATGTGGAGGAAGCCTGACTTGATACCTAAAAAAAAACCCATCCAGACCAATCGGGAAAAGAAGGAAGCAGAAACAGACAGAAACAAACAGTAGGAAGTGAGGCGCTCAGATTGCTCACCCTAGACGATGCAGACCTTTCCTGACTGTGGACGGGACCAGAGGGAGCAGCAGAGGGCGCACACAGGAAGGCTGAGGACAACAGCAGCAAAGGGAAGCCAGAGGAAGTGCTCAGGAGTCCCATCGGGACAGCCCCTCCAGAACAGAATGTTAGGTGTGGGGTGAAGTCTTTTTTCAAGATCTCCGTTGGTGGGGATATCTGGGAGAGGTCTGGGCCGTGGATTTCGGTGGTGAGCTGGGTGGAGACAGTGTGGTCAATAGTGCTAGTCTGACAAGCCACCACCACGTAGCACTAACTGGTTAGTCTTCCTTTTCTTATGTTGACTAAAAGTCTGGAAATGGAATGAATGCTACTAAGCTATAAGAGCTTATAAAATAGCAA